TTTTTGGGGGGGGGTACCTTTATGTTTGTTTGTTCTTTTTTTTATAGTTTGTTTGTTATTTCAGTTTTTTTGTTGAACTTGATACTTTTGGTACCTCTCAATTGAGTTTCTTTTCTTTTCTTTTCTTTTCTGTTTCGTGATACTTTTGGTACTCTCAGTTTTGTGTTGACTTAAAAAATTATTTTTAAAAATCGTGACACTTTTAAATTGGTAGCTCTCAATTGTATACATTTTCCTTCTTTTTTTTTTCTATTTAAGATACTATGCTAATGCTGGTTTGCTTATTTATAGAATATGTAACGTCCAGACCTTATATAAAGCCAATGTGTATTTGTTGACAACAAATGTAGTTTAAAGCAGGACAGAAAAAATAATGACTTATGTTTTAGCTCATCTTCAAAGGTATAAATGAATGCTGCTGTTCTTATGGTACTGCTAGCATGATATGAATTTGGAATGCTTAAACTAGTTTGAATTGAACGATACTATGAAACCAGGCTACAGAGGCAAGGGTAGACATCCGAAGTAGGTGGTTGGCGGGTGCTCTGGTGTGGTTTGCTTCTTCTTTCCTATTAAACATCTATCGTCCGTATCTCCCCTTCTTCTTTTTTATGTTTGTTACTCTCTTGTAACACCTCTAATCTTCAGGCGCTCATATGACCGTATGCAGTTGCGAGCGCCGTAAACCTCTACTAAAACTAAGACATCCGAAAGACTTGCCTGGATGGCGTCAAAGAGGTCCTACAACAGAATGTCCTACCAACCTTCCTTGTCCTTGACTAAAAATTGCACCTCCTCTCGACATTAACGACACATCATCATCATCATCACTGCCTGTCTCACCTTGCATCAGGGTATAGGCCACGCACCTTTCTCTATCCCAGGCAGGCCTCTTGATGTCATTCCTTGTCTTCTCACTAACGATACAAGAAAAAGCTAAAAGTAAAAGTTACAGTAAAGATGAAATGTACACCATGTGTATAATAATAAATAAATAATAAAATAAGTTACATTTTATTGATCCTTTTGGGGGAAATTTGAGTCACCATAGCAAACGTACGTACATAAATGCATAATTAGGAAAATGTACACATACATAAATACATACATATATACAAACATAAATAAACAATATTACCCCAATACAGAACAATTTCTCAAACATGGCATTGCTGGTGGCCACTGTACAGTGCCCTGTATTTTTTAGCTAGGGTTGTCGTGTCTTGCTCAAGGACACAATTTAGTGACCACCCTCCTAAACCCTGTGTCACCGACACTTGCTTGACATTACTTTTGAGTCTGAACTCACTACTCACTAGCCACTAGAGCCTTGTTTTATATTAATTGTTTTTATTTTCAGTTGATCGTGGACATTGTCAGCGAAACAGTCCCAGAGCCCCAGACATCAGGTAAAAGATTTTGTTCCCGTTTCTTTGCTTTCTCATTTCTGTACTGGTTGGGAAATCTGGCTTCGCCTCTGTTTGGCTCAGACAGTTAAGAAACACACTCTATATTACTCATAGCTTGCTGTGTTGTACTAGAAATGTGCTGTTATGATTTGTAACACCTATTTGTGTCTTAGTTAGTAAAAGAAAATAGACTCTAGACTACTAAAAATGTACTGTTATGAATTGTAACATCAATTTGTGCCTCAGTAATAAAAAATAGACTCTGCACTACTAAAAATGTGCTGTTATGATTTGTAAAGAAGCTCAGGCTTAAATACTTTTAATCTAATGGTATTTCACTATATTTAACAAAGGTATACACGTTATTTATCATATAGCTTTCATCACTTTAAGACTGATGTATTGTCATAATTACGGTATTTATTGGTTTTTCGATCACAAGTTGGAGAATAAAAGCATAAAGAAGGGTATGTTTCATTATGAGTGAAATGATTCTATGTTCCAAAGTGGAAAAAGATTTATATAGTTAATGTTTCAACTTTCATATATTAAACTATTTGAAAAAATTGTAGTAAATTTCATCTGGTCATCAGTTTCTTTGTGCAACAACCGGTCTCTAGAATGCATCGATTGGGAACTATGTGTTTATGTGTGAACTTGAGCATATAAATGCTTTTGTTTAACTATCTGTTAATAAGTTATTTCGGTATTTGAAAAAAATGTGAATCACCTGACTAAATTGTTTGGGAAGGAAGGGTAAATAAGTAATAATATAATATGCACGACTGGTCGTTTGGAATGAAAACTTGTGAGGGAAATATATAGGGGAGTAGGACTGTAAGAGTGAAAAGAAATAGCAAATATACTCAACAGGGCTTTGATTAACAAGAACCATTCAATATTTGCTTCTTCTTTCCAGCCAAACATCTATCATCTTTGTCTCTCCTCCTTCTTTTTTGTGTTTGTTACTCTCTTGTAACACCTCTAATCTTCGGCACTTATATATGACCTTATTGTTTTGCAAATGCAGTAAAACTCTTACTAAAACTATTTTTTTTAAACGAGAACCTGTGAGGGAAATAATTGGACTTTGGTTGTCATGGCAAAAAAATTATTATAGCATTTTTGTTTGTTATAGTCAATTGTAACTTAAGTAAATGTCACTCTGTACATTTTTTTCTCTTTTTCCCCCTCACCAGAACAAGACTCCGCAGCAGCAGCTTCAGCGCCCGACAGCTCAGCAGCCCAGCCCTCCAGCACCTCGTCATCATCATCATCTATGCCGTCTTCTTTGTCAACATCGTCATCATCTCTGTCGTCGTCATCAACAGCATCACCCGCAGCAGCATCAGCAGCAGCAACGTCATCAGCAGCAGCATCTCCCGGGTCCCCTAACCTGGACCTGGAGGCCATCAAAGCAGCGACCGCATGTCAGTACACAATGGAGCAAATCCGCCATGCCATCATTAAATACTTTGTCTTATCCCGTGAGTTGTAGCCGCTGATATTTACAAAATACTTTGTCTTATCCCATGAGTTGTGGAAACTGATAAACGTTACTTTTTTGGCTGTCGTTTAAAAAATACTTCGTCTTATCCCGTGGGTTCTAGCGAGTGATACATGTTTCTTTTTGCACCATCCTTGAGTGGTAGCAACTGATGAGTGGTAGCCAACTTTTTGCCCTATCATTAAAAATAATTTGTCTTATCCCATGGGTTGAAGCTGCTGATATACATTACTTTTTGGGCCATCTTTAAATACTTTGTCTTATCCCATGGGTTGTAGCAACTGATATTTTTGTCTTATCCCATGAATCGTGGAAACTGATGAGTGGAACAAATCCGCCATGCCATCATTAAATACTTTGTCTTATCCCGTGAGTTGTAGCAACTGATATAGTGTGTGTTACTTTTTGCCCCGTTGTTTAAAAAATACTTTGTCTTATCCCATGGGTTGTAGCGACTGATAGATTTGTCGTATCCCATCAGTTGTAGCAGTTGATACCTGTGTTACTTTTTGCCCCATTATTAAGTACTTTGTCGTATCCTGTAAGTTGTAGCCATTGATATAGAGTGTGTTACTTTTTGCCCCATCATTTAAAAAATACTTTGTCTTATCTCGTGAGTTTTAGCAGCTGATAGACATTACTTTTTGGGCCATCATTAAATACTTTGTCTTATCCTGTGAGTTATAGCGACTGATATAGTGTGTGTTACTTTTTGCCCCGTCGTTTTAAAAATACTTTCCAGTGAGTTGTAGCCGCTGATATTTAAAAAATACTTTGTCTTATCCCGTGGGTTGTAGCAACTGATGAGTGGAGCAAATCCGCCATGCCATCATTAAATGCTTTGTCTTATCCCGTGAGTTGTAGCCGCTGATAGACATGTTTGTTACTTTTTGCCCCATTGCTAAAACATACTTTTAGTTATCCCATGGGTTGGAGCGACTGATATTTATCCCATAAGTTATTTTTGCCCCTTCATTTAAAGTGCTTTATCTTATCCCGTGAGTTTTAGCCACTGACACCTGTGTTACTTTTTGTCCCATCATTGCTTGTACGTTGATTATTACATCTGAAATTCTGATTGGTAAAGGAGCGAAGTGGGTTTTAAATTGAAGAATTTATTTGTATCTTATTCTTTTAAATTGAACGTGGCTTCATTTTAATGCTGAATCCTTCATTGTATGTTGGAGAATGAATAGAGAATACATTGTATTCACACATTTCTTAATGGGAAAGACTTTTCTGACTCTCAGTTTCTCATAACTGTGCAGCAAGCTGTCTTTGGAAAGTGGGTTTTAACCAAAGAATTTGGTAGTATCTTAATCCTTTTAAATAAATGCAGCTTCATCTTCATGCTGGTTCTCTGCTTCCAACTGACATTGTAATGTTTACATAGGGCAAGATTTTGTTCACTTTCTGGGCAAAAATTTCTTGTTTTCGGTCGTTATTCTGATATCTTTTTGGGCTTTTTTTGTGAGAGGAGTTTTTCTTCTTGAAGCCTTAATGTGAATCTTTGGTAGCTATATGTCTAAAGTCATAATCATTTGATTGTGAGGTAATCTAATTTATATTTCTCTATCATTTTTTACCTTTGTTCATTACTTTCATAAATATTTGTCGCATGAATTCCATCAACATGTCAGTTTCATCAGTAGAATTATTATTGTGTTTATTATGTAGTTTTTTAATAGTATTTGTGGATCTTTGTGTATTTGCAGGTGGACTTTATCCCAACAAGGATCTTCTCCTGGGAACTCTGAAGGCAGCAGACGAGAACTACAAGCAACTCTGTGACCAGAGACAGGAGATTGAGGACACTAAGGCAGCATGTAAGAATAAAGACGCTGAATTACAGGAGACCAAGGCTGAGAAAGCAACGAGGGAAGCAGTTCTCCAGCAGGAGATTCTGGCCAGGGAGAGAGAGTTGCAGGCCACAAGGACAGAGTTGCAGCGCAGAGGTGTGGAAGGCAGGTCAGATTTGGAGCAGCAGATTCAGCACCATCGTGAGGTCAGTTCATGTGACTGTGACCCGACTACTTAATATAAAACTACACCGTTTATTGTTTTTCTAAAGTGATCTAAGGTAGAGTTTTACCTTGAGCAGTTGAAATATGTACTTTTTAAAAATCTTATGTTATAATGTTGTGTGAAGTTCAGGGAAGGGGAGGGTCTCAACTGAGACTAGCAAAATTTATGTATATGAGGTACACAGGAAACAGAGAGAGAGAAAAGCACACATAGAGACACAGAGAGAGAGAGAGAGATACACACACTCACACAGAGAAAGAGAGAGGTAGAGAGAGAGAGATACACACAGAAGCAGAGAGAGACAGTGTGAGAGAGAGAAAAAGAAAGAGAGAGAGAGAGAGAGAAATTGTGCATGTGTGTGTGCACGAGAGAGAGTGAGTGAGTGAGAGAGAGAGAGTGAGAGAGAGAGAGGGAGGGAGAGAGAGAGAGAGAGAGAGAGAAGGATGGAGAGAAGGAGAGAGAGATCTGTTTTAAAACTGTCTTTATAAAAATATATACAGTATAGCTTACTGTAGTTTCTTGTGTGTGGATAGGCGGATAGGGTTAAAAATACGGAACTCACAAAATGTCATAACATGAAAGGAAAGTGTCCGACGTCCGTGAACTCAAGTGTTGAGAGAACAGAAAACAGTGAGAGAGAGAGAGGGGGGGGATGCAGAGAGAGAGTGAAACAGAGAGATGCAGAGAGTGAGAGAGATGCAGAGAGAGGGAGGGAGAGATGCAGAGAGAGAGAGGGGGGTGCAGAGAGAGAGAGCGAGAGAGAGAGATGGACAGACAAACAGAAAGAGAATGAGACCGAAAAAGAAGCGATGGTGGTACTTCTGGCTTTGAATTAGAACTGTCGCTCAAAAAGCGTATTACAATTTTGAATTACGGAATTATGATGCTTTTTGT